GTGCTATGATGAACTATTAATCCTGACTGAAAATCCTCAGACCCTCATGGGGTCTAAGAGGCAGATGAAAGATGAAGAAATTATTGAAATTAGTTGGTAAAGACTGAGGAAAGCAAAGCAGTCTAAACATATATCTGGTTTTACAGCTGTTTCTAAGGTTCCTGAGTTTAGAGATAAGTCGGTGCCAGATAAGTCAGTGTTACATGTGAGGACGTTTGGCTCCATCTTGTGTGTATAAATAAACAGTGCATTGTTTAAAGCATAGTAATTCAAGCATAGTAATTCAAGCATAGTAATGAATACATGAGTAATTTAAAAACACAAAAATAATGATCTCTTCACCTTTCAGCATCAGTAGTTTTTAAGCTGTACTGTAGATATGAGGTCTCAAGCAAGGTTAAAGTTTGGGTTGAGGCTGAGGCTGGATCATCATTGTCTAGGAGAAAAGCATCTGATTTCAATTGCTTTAAGTTTATAGATGCTGTAAAAAAAATATATTTAAAAAAAAAAATGAAACTACAGTAGCCTACAGTTTGTATGATTTACACAGTCAGCAGCAGTCACAGTTGTGAGTCTTGTTTTGTTTTTTATGTACAAGGCACCTTATTTTAAAGTGCTTGTAATAGGCAGTAATTAACAGTTAATAAGACACTTATAAGACCTTATAGGATACTTATAAACAAATAAGTCAATAAATGTGTTAATTAAAGCATAATTAACACATTTATTATTGCTTATAAGACAATTATAGGCTCTTATTAGAAACGTGTTAACAAGTTATATATACCTCATGAACCTTATATGAATAAGCATGAATAAGATGTTTATTAACATTAATGAGACTAAATGAGTGTTAGTAATGTCCTAAAACACATTTATTATTGCTTGTAAGATATTAATGAAAACTTATTAGAAACGTGTTTACACATGTAAATAGTTTATAGACCACTTATCAATGTTAATAGGATGTTTAATGACAGTAATCAAACTGTAAGAAGTTCATATTACTGCCTTATAAAGGCTAATATATCCTTATTTATGCACTTATTAACCATTAACAATGCACCTTTGCAGCTACCTAAACTAAAGTGGGAACAGTGTTTTATTTAAATTAATAAATCCTTTATTATGCACTTATTAACAATGCTCCTTTGCAGCTACCTAAACTAATGTGGGAAGAGTGTCTTATTTAAATTAATGGATTAATACCTGTTTTGGATGTCTGTTTCGTTTTCTCATTTGGATTTAATAATTTTTGATTTTCTGGACACAGCCACTCAGCCTGTAAGTGTGCTCGCTTTTGTTTGTTGAATAAATCTCAAGTACTGAACCTGCCTGTTCCAGTGTCTGCATTTTGGGTCCTCCAACCTATTTCTGCCACAAATCGTAACAGTTGTGAAGCACAAAATCATACTCTTAAGACATTTATTATGGAAATTGAAATTTTCTTTTACATTTCATAACTATCAACTAAACGCAGCAACCAAAAGAAGAGTATATTAAACTTCCACACAAATAAAAAAGTGCAATTACAAATAACGTTTTCTTGAAAATTAACTCTAAATCACCTTATGTATGACAACAGATTTTTTCTTTTCAATAAAAAAATGACATTGTACAAGTCCTCCACCTTCAACTGTATGGCTTTTAGGCCAGTAAGATGACCTTAAGATCGTGGACTTTGGGGAACATTTTTTGGTTTGCATCTTCCAGCTCCACGAAGATCTTCTGAAAAACCTTAAAAGGCCCATTACATAGGTGAAAGCCTGTGCTACAATGGGAATACTAAAAAGGACCATCGCTCCTGCGATGGCTATTCCAGCTTGCTTTTTAAGACCTCCCTCCCTGATTTTTCTTGACCACAAATATGTTTAGTGTAAATGAAGGGAGGGCCTCTTGGATGGCTGAAGCATCGTTGTCATCAAAAACCTGTGAAATATACCAGAGAGAATTAAACCTACTTTTTTTGCTAGATGTTAAGAACACATATAGGTCTTTGCTCTCCCTCTGAACAGAAATCTAGGTGGGATTATGTAGTTGCTGTGGTAGTTTTGAGCATTGTTGGGATTTAAGTCAAGAAATGTGTGTGTCCATCAGAAATACTTAGTCTTGCTGTTCTTAGTAAAAAAAAAAAGAGTGAATAATAATTTAATTTTTTTTTTTTTTTTTTTTTAATTAGTTTTTGACAGATCTATCAATTTGCTCTGTGTACCGTCCAATGAAAGTGCTGTTTTTCCCGCTGACAGGTTCAGATAGTTATTATAAGTGTCTGACAGCATTATAGAAAGGGTCCTTAGAGAGAGAGACATTTTTGTTAAAGATTAAAATTATTTTTGTTAAACCAGAAACAACTCCAAAATCGCCATCACCAAACATAACAGACTCCATTTAATAATAAATACTTTTAGCATGTATAGAGCCAGCATAATTGTTACATGTAAATGGGTGAATTTAGGGTTTATTTCAACCAAACCAGTGGTGGTTGTTGGAACAATCGAAACACAACTAAGATGGTTTGTGAAGGTTTTATCTTGTTTCTGTCGACTTTAAATGAAGTGTGTTTTATGATGATAAAATTACAGTTAATTTGAATGGAATCTGGTGGGTTTGGTGATTTCAGGGATGTTTCAAGTTAAAACAAAAAGGATCTTACTCTTTAACAAAAGGTCAACCTCTGCAGGGATCGTTTCCATAATGTTGTCAGACACTAAGGATAATTATCTGAGCATGTCAGTGGCAAAACAAGCACATGTTGTGGATGTAAATTGAAGAAAAATCCAAGTGCCTATGTTAGCATACACTGCATGCCTTGCATTTTATAGCTGCATGCTAACGTTAGCTTCACTTACACTAGAACCAACTATTTTCTCGGCACTGTGTTTCAGACAGTTTGTGTGGAAATTATTTGGTTGTTCAAACCAAATGTTGTATTAACTGTCCGGGTGGCTGGTCTCAGACAATTTGCAGGTGAAAAGGCTGGATGCGGAGGTGCTGGGCTGGCATGGCTACATGTGGTCTGCAGTTCTGAGGCCAGTTGAATGTACTGGCAAATGGTCACAGTACCTTAGTTATAGTACTCCGGCTTCCAGTATAAATACACTAAAACAATGTTATCTTTAAATTACACGTAAAGCTTCGTTTTTGTGCAAATGTAAAACTGAAAAGACTGTAGTAACGTAGTTAACCACTTTGCTAAATGTTTTCTTACCTTAAATTTGATCCACATGTTCCTCGTTTGAAATGCAAAGGGTTTCCAGACCAACAGAACAGGAAGGGAAATTGGAGTCAATCAGGCTCCTTCAGGCTCCTACGCTTCACAATAATTTTTTATACTGAGTAAATAGGTGTGTGTGTGTGTGTGTGTGTGTGTGTGTGTACCTAAGAATACTGGCTGTGATTACTTCATACATTTTTGTAAAGAAAAAAGGCACAATGTCACAAATGCATTAATTCAAAACTTGATATATTCATGTAAAGATACAAACTTAACATTTTATTGTTAATATCAAATATTTAATTACATTACATTACAACATTTACTCCTACTTGGAATTTGGTGCAGTCTTAAATAAGTTTTAATAAAGAGGGATCGCTACTCTGACTTCACTCCAGGCCAAAGTACAGGAGGACAAACTTCTATTTGGGTGGAGCTTATAAATATCTTACAAGCCAATAATAAATGTCTTTTGGGATATTACTAACAGTCATTAATGTTAATAAACATCTTATTAAGGTTCTTATGGTATATATAACTTGTTAGTAAGTGCTCATAAGAAATAAGAAATGTGTTCTTTCATATTTTGAGAAAATACTTATAAAGTCTTATCAATGTTAATAAAGATGTATTTTATAAGCTGCCTATTAACATTAAACATTTTTAATAAGTTCACTACAAGTGTCTTATAAGGAAATAACAACTCTTACTTTCTCAATAACCAATCCTTATAAAGTCTAATTAATGTTAATAAACATCTTATTAATGTTAATAAATGGTAAACCATCAACAAGTGTCTTATAAGCAATTAGAAATTAGTTAATTGTGCTTTAGTTAATATTTGTGTGTATAAGCATCTTATAAGGTCTTATAAGATGCAAACATCAAACCAAAATATACACGGAGATGATATGTTGCTCGGGGGCTGACTGTCTGATCGTGTATGGATCAATGAATGACTGAACTCCAGCTGCCTCTAGATTGGTTCTGGTAACAAACACATTGTGGTCACTGCTGGCTTTGACACTGAAGTCAGAAGCACATGATCCAGTTTTACTTTAGTTTTACTTTAGTTAACATGATATAGGAATATGTCTTTACAAAAGATTTCATTGGTTGTTGTTTTTACAAATGTGCCATGTAGCCACTGCTTGTCTAAGGGATATCATTGAATGTCAACCTAGGATAGGCTTTCTGTTATTTGCTATTGACTATTGCATAATGCCCTTCATATATCTTTGAATGTATTTTAATATGACCACCACTAAAGGTTTGTTTTTTTGTTTGTTATTTTACAGCGTTTCTGAAAGACAAAACAAATCAAGCATAGCATTAGTTCAGGCAGGCAACAAAGTCAAGCTCAGCTCATTCCAGCATATCAGCTGATAGCAGCCATCTTAAGCAGCACATCAGCTGACAGCTGAGCTGATTCCTCTCATAGCATTCATTGGCAAATTCCATACAAGGCGAGCTGCTGTAGCCTACCTGCCTGCCCTCGCAGCTTCCTATGCAAACAGCTCATAAACAACAGACATGAGAATGACCGGACTGCCTGTGTACAGGCTTCAACTTACCCCTGCTTTTAGTCCCACCGATGAAGAAGTTCAGGACAAGTACAAACACTTAGAGACAACTGAGATTAATCATCTGACTTCTAAAACACCATTTACAGACCTTTACAGTCAGAGGAAGTTTATTTGGTTAGAATGATGATATATCACAGGAAATCAATATGTTTATTTTCAAAAATAAATGAAAAACACGTTTCATAAATTGTCTACAGTTCCACACAATTACAGGGCAACAGAAAATAAAATCACATAATTTTTGGAAAGCAAATGCATGAATTCTTCAAACACAATTTAAACTCTTTTAATATAGTGGTTTAAAAATCTAGCGAAAATAAAACTCTTACTGTGAAAATAGTGCACTGTAGATATGGTAGCAAGTATACTAATCACAAAATTAAAAAACAACTTGTGTACAGGCAAGATAATGACCCTTGATCAAATTTTATTTATCACAAGAGTTAAATAGATTTCTAAAAAGGTTAATGTTAGGGTTCAAAATGGGTGAGGTGCTAAGTAAACCTTTTAGGAAAAAATTATGTCACTTGGGTCTGGCTTTCTCTGTGTTTTTTATCTTTGTCATCATCTTTGTAGACAACTTCAGACATTTCTTCAAAGTTACCTGGAAATTTAAAAACAGACTGTGAAATGTGTTTTGGAGTGGCTACCTGTCACAGAGGACATGTTATCTTTTCAACCTTTTTCAACCAAGTCTGTAAAAAATATTTTCATGGTATTATTTATCTAAAATGAAGATAAAATAATTCAAAGGTCTAAAAACTCTGGTAAACTAACTTAATGTCAGTATGGTCCTTACTGAGACGGATGAAGACATCTGAGAAAATCTTTCACTTACCCTTTAATAACAGTCGTGGGTCTTTGTTTGTTATGTAGATGTTTTATACTAAGACACAGAGCCACAAGGAGAAGGAGAGTGACAACACCTGCTATCACAGCCACAGTCACAACAGGGAAGGAACCAACTAACTCTAGGATACACAAATTAGATGATGACAGTGGCATGTTAATTTCAAAGCTTCCAAGAAGTATCTCAAATATTTCTTGTACATTATTTTGTTATGTATCAGGTGTTCGACATGTACCGGATAAAAAAAATTAGCAATGAGCTGTCCAATGCAGTCAGAAAATGTAATTAAGGTTTTTAAAAATATGTAATACTATGTGACATAGTAGTGAGGAGCTGATATTTACACTTAACAAAATATTAATGCAACACTTGTTTTTACTTCCATTTTTGTGGTTGAAGTCTGTGTTGAAGTAAAAGATCCAATACTTCTTCTATCCATACAAAAGGCTGACTTCTCTCAAATTTTGTTCACAAATTTGTTAAAATCCATGTTAGTAAGCATTTCACTTTTGCCAAGATAATCCATGAAAACCAATCAGTATCTGGTGTGACCACAATGTGCCTTTTGCACTGCCATCAATAAAATGTACTTGTGTTCTTATGCCTGGTCATACCATAACTCCACTGCCACCATGGGGCACTCTCTTCACAACGCTGACATTATTAAACCACTTGCTCATATGACTCCATACACGATGTCCACCATCTGCACAGTACAGTGTAAACAGGGATTCATCTGTAATGAGAACACTTCTACAAAGTGTCAGACACCATCAAAGGTGAGGATTTTCCCACTCAAGTCAGTTATGACAACGAACTGCAGTCAGGTCAAGACCTTGGTGATGACAAAGAGCATTGATGAGCTTCCCTGAGACTGTTTCAGACAGTTTGTGTGGAAATTATTTGGTTGTTCAAACCAAATGTTGTATTAACTGTCCGGGTGGCTGGTCTCAGACAATTTGCAGGTGAAAAGGCTGGATGCGGAGGTGCTGGGCTGGCATGGCTACATGTGGTCTGCAGTTCTGAGGCCAGTTGAATGTACTGGCAAATTCTCAGAAGCAATGTTGGAGACTATGATATAGATTATGGTAGGTAGTCAAATGAAATTTTAATTCACAGGCAACAACTCTAATGGACATTCCTGCACTCAGAGTGCTAATTGCATGCTCCCTTACAACCTCTGTAGTATTGTCTTATGTGCTAAAAATGCACACATTAGAGTGGTTTTTTATTGTGACCAGTAAAAGGCACACCTGTGCGGTAATCATGCTGTTTAAGCACACCTGTCAGATAGATGGATTTTCTTGGCAAAGGTGAAGTGCTCACTAACACAGATTTGAACAAATTTTTAGAGTAATCAACCTTTTGTGGCCATAGAAGAACTCCTAGATCTTTTGCTTAAGTTTCTATGAGAATGATGGTGCTGTGCCATGGTGACTTGCTACGTGCTGCTCTGGCCTTGTTTGCTCAAGAATTTCATTGCATTTTATTTTATTTTATACACATGATAATAAAGTTGAACCTTGTGAACTTGGCAACTTAATTCATGAGAAATGAGAGCAATAAGAAGTGTTGTGTTTATATTTTTGTTGCATGTAGAAAAGTAAACTCTGTACCTTTGCAGCTTTGTAGGTGAATAACTGTTTCATCTCTGCTGACATTGTTCCAAACTTTACACATCAAGTTTCCTGTCAGTTGACCATGTAAGCTGATGGTAACATTTGAAACTCTGAGATTATGTTGTTTAGCTGTACTCCCAACCAGTGACAGTGTCGAGCTGCTCAGGGACTGGCTGTGGCCTGTGGTCTGCATCAGTAAGAGACTGTCCAAAGTCAAAATGAACTCTACTCCATCTCCTTCAGAGGAGCAGCTGATGTTCATCTGTTCTGACAAACACATCTGAGAAACAACAGGCTTTGACACTGGAGCTGGAAGACAAACATATAGTAACATGTACAATGTTAAACAGTACGTAATGCAAAGTAAATTTCCATGCTAAATCTGTAAACTGTGGAGCTGGTGTCTATTTTAATATATGTTTTAATTATAGGAAAACATTTAACGCTTTAAAGTATGTAATCAAAAATAAAACAATGGCAAGTTGAATTGATGTTTGAAGGCTATCGATAAAGAGAATAAAGTATGCAGCTCACCATTGCTTAGTCTAAGTGTAGGTATATGTAAATTGATATAAATCCATAAAAATATATGAACAAATATAAAAGAGCTGTACTGCATAAAGAAAAAGGAAAAAAACATATATATGTATATGTATGTATATATGTGTGTGTGTGTGTGTGTATATATATGTGTGTGTGTGTGTGTGTGTGTGTATATATATCTGTGTGTATATGTGTACATATGTATATGTATTTAATTTTTTATATATAGTATAAAATTACAAATGCCATAATATAATATTATTAATTTTATGCAATATTCAGTATTTGTATAATTAGTTATGTACATAAGTACTACTACTACAAATATGTTAAGAATAACTACAAGTTACAGATTTTGTAATCATAATACATTAACACAATTAACACAAACTGCGTTTGAGACAGACACAACATTCTTTTATAATTTAAACAAATTATATAGGTGTTTGTTCTTATTTTTGCTTTAAAACACATTTCTTTCATCTACCTTTTGAATTGAACATGCCTTTTATTTATATATACTCTAAACATTATATATACTTTAAAATTTGGAAAGTATTTTAGTCTTACCTTGTATTTCTAGAGACATGTTGATTTTGTGCAATAATACACCATCAGTAGCTCTATATGTTTCCAACTGGTAATGTCCAGAGTCTTTTTTTGTTGCCTTGTCAAGCTTAAAAGTTCCATTTGAGAAGAATGCAGAATGATGGTATTCCTTATCTATAGATGCTACTGTATTATTGAGTATTTTAAAAATTCTTAGTTTGGTATTCTTTATCAACATCAATTTTTTATTTTCGCCGTTGGGCAAGTAAAAAGTCAACGGCTCAGCGAGTGCTCCAAAACACCGCTGAGCTCCAGTAGGTTCAGAGAAATTGCATTCCAAAGCCCCTGATAGGAAAAAAACATGATTAAAAATATTTATACAAAATAATAGTATTTCTTGTATCTGGTGTGTGATATTTCATTTCTGTGTAGAAAAAATTACCAGACCATTACCACTTCCAAGTCATACATATATTATGAAAATGTTTTAATCAAGTGAAATCAATGCTATAAATATAATATATATATAATCTCATAATTTGAATTAAGTACCTGGTAATGGTATTATTATGGTATAGTAACATAACTCATCATGAAAATGGATAATATAATGTAATAACTGATTTTGAAGGATCTAAAATATTGCATCATTAAAATCTTTAGTGATTTTGGTCAACATACCAGTTCTGTAAACTACATAATTATACTGAAGCGTACCTTTTGCCAGAGCTGTTATTGCCAGACCTGTGATGATCATGTAGATGGAAGTCATTTCCTGTTGTAATACAGTCACATTATCTCTGTTACATAGGATATTTCTTCTACATGCAGAAACATCAAATTAAAATTTCCTCAGTTTCTGGAGTTAAAAGGACAACTCAATAAATCCTAAGCTTGGTCATTATAGATGCCATGTATAGATTTTTTCATAATAAAAAGATAAATATATAGTCCTTTAAAAAAATTATTTTTTTAAATGAATGAAATACTTAACATTTTCTGCACACTTAAACTAATATCAGCATTACTAGAGTCAAATTTACTCACTGCCTTTACAATAGGATGTCGTCTCTGTGGCTTGATGACTGGCCTGTGAATTTTCCACTGACAGCAAGCTGCCATATATCTGGTCTTTGTGTTGAGAATTGCGGAAGTGGTTATTTGCACTCATTGACTGTAAGTACTACTAAAGCGCTGAAGTATTTTCTGCTGCCTTTAGTTCACGTTTCAAAATTATCACGCTCTGTGTGAGCTATTCCTGTCAATATGTGAATGAAGTAATAACTTCTGTGTCTGGTGCTCAAACACATAAGACAACTTTCAGATCTTAATCACACACAATAATAAATAACTCCTTTTATCTCAGTTGTTCATATATTTGAAAAACAATTAGTGTATAGGGGTGTGTTTGCTTTATATACATGAAACCCGCATGGATCCAATGCTTATAATGTAGTTTCCAGTGTCCCAATATATAACTTCAAGACAATATGTTATACTGTACAGTGGAAATGTGAAGACAAATTAAAAATAAATGTGCAGTCTGTGGCCATTGATCCTTGCTACAAGTAAGAAGAATGGAGGAATAAGCGGGTGTGTATACAAGTCTGTACTGCGTAGTTGTTTGGACAGAGTTTTAATAAATGTGCTATAGCTACTAGCAAGTTATTTGTGGTTGCATGCTAGGGACATTTACCTCTAAATCCATCTAGTTATCTTATGTTCTATATAATTTGCTGTGGACCATTACATTATGCTCATTTTGCATGTATAGTTTTTTATTTTTTATTTATTGTGCACTTCATGTAGTTGTAGTGGTATCACAACACCACCAATGATACTGAGTTATGGTTCACATGGAATTATCAACGCCATAACGCCTTAACAATTTCCTCTATAAAGCCCACAGTACCTATAGTATTCTCAAAGTGGATAATCAGTGAGAGGGAAAAGAAACCTCAGCGTGAACAAAAATGCAGGCTATACACAAATAAAATAAATGACAGCTCTGCCTACAATTAGCTGATCACATTATACAAAACAACAGCTGGCCAAGTCCAGAAAAAACAGTGTCCTAAGGAAAGTGTGAAATCATATTACAACTTTTGTATACATGTATGTTTTCAAGTATAGCAGACATATTTGCATTGTCAAGAAGATGCCTGAGAAGGATGCATCTAATAATCATATTTGCAATGTTATGGCAACATTTAAATTCAAAATATTTCCTCACAAAGACATGACTGCAGCAAATGAAATGGAGGACAAGCATCTCTCTCTCTGTATTTTAATCAGATCTCTGTTTAAGGATGAGAAAACTTTGTATTTCTGCGAACTGTACTACAAATAAGCATTTCCTGCCTCTCAACATGTAACCACGTGGTATTTATTTCCAAACCAAGTACATGTACATTATTCACCACAGTTTGTATCACCAAAGTTTATTAGAGGAAACTAAAAGTAAACTCATGTCTAAGGTTGTTCACAACTAGAACGGAAAACGCTGTGAACCACAACTGTGTTCTCAGTCTCTGCTTCAGCCACAGGGTAGGCTAGGCTAGGGTATTTAGTTTAATATGTATATAAATGCTTTATAGTGTGAGTATTTCACTCTCATTTGCCCCTAAAAATCTATCCATCTATCCATCCATCCATCCTTCCATGACCTGTGGGTAGTTCTCCAAGATGTTTGGGCCAACATCTGCATCATTCTCTCAAAAACTATATGCAAGTGTACCTAGAAGAATTGATGCTGTTTTTAAGGCTGGCCACACCAAATATGTGTATGTATAAAAATAATGTCCAATAGTTTCGAAATAGATTTATTTGGCCTACGCAGTGTATTTCCAGATGTGTTGCATTACGGCAAAGGTTTAGCCAGGTCAAGTCTTTTGCAGCACAACCTTGTGTTCTTTGGCTGAGCCTTGGCACCCCTGGTGCTGCAAAGCAAATGGAGGGAGTGAACATTTTTAAGCAGTGCTGTCTGTTTAAACATGGCCTAATAATTGGACTGGACTCTACCATGAGAGTCTGACATGATGTGGAATGAAGAGATGGAAACAGTGCGGTGCATCACTCCAGTATTTAAACTAAGCAGCCATACTAAAATAAACAAAAACTAGACTCAGCATTTCCTAAAAGAAAATGCATGTGAGAGTTGTCAGCTAACTGCTGCTCCATCAGCACTTTTTCAAATACTTTACCACCAACTACAGGTAAAACAATTTAGCATATGCACCAAACGTACTCAGTAACAGTTTTTCTCGATTGCTTAAACACATTTGTTGAAATCATGCCTTGTTTTCTCGGAACAAATCCACAACTTCTTACTCAATTTCCCAAACATCCTATTTTCAGGTCAAAATGAAGCTCTCCACTCAAAACTATTCAAACTTTCTGAAAATCCAAACTTTGCTCTCAGACATGACACAAGCCCTCAAAAACACACACACTACGACACAGCCTTACACACTGGTGAGATAAATTCAAAACAATACTACAAAAACTGGTTAAAAGTAATGTTGCTTGTGGTTCTCCCTCTCAAAAAGAATAAGTAGTTCTAATAATTCTAGCCTTTGATGTATGTTGCTTAGCAACCGTGATAGCCCACTGGCAGCCTGGTGGAAATACTTTTTGTATTCATAAATAAATGACTGTTGATGAAATAAAACAAAGTCAAATTGTAGTGCATCTTTTAGCCTACTTTCTTTTTGCCACACTTGTTAACCGTTTTATAAAAGCAAAAGCTCACGACAGGCCATGGTATACGCTTATTATATCACATATAAGGGCCGTTGTTCGGCCCGATGCGAAGCGGAGCTATTGCTTAATGAACATTTGCACATTTGCACACATTTTTTATTCCTTAGTGTACTGTACAGTACAACACACTGAAGAAATTATTCTGCCCCAGCCAGAGATATTCTCCACCTCCTTCTCCACCTACTCCTCCCTCTGCTTCCTCCACCTCCTTCTTCACCTCCTCCTCCTCCCTACTCCTTCTCCTCTGCCCTGCTCCTGCTCGGCTTCCTCTTTCTCCTCATCTTCCTCCTATCCCTTCTACTCCTCCAACTCCTATTGTTCCTCTTCCTTCACCTCTTACTCCTCTCCTTACTGCATTTCCTCTTCGTCCTCTTCTTCTTCCACCTCCTCCACTCTGGTGTCCTGAAGTGTGCTCCATTTGGTTAAAATATCCTTTCTAGGATTTGATCCTTCGTCCTTTGGATCTTAAGTTCAACACTTTAACCACTAAACTATTCAGGCACTTTGTGAGAGTAACATTGCTTTTGACTTTGTCCATTGATCTAGTGTTGAATTGAAATGTAATGCCTCCAATGCACCAAGAGAGGGCACTCGACCACAAAACGGAAACACTTCTACATTTTCATTCATTGCATTTAGAAAGACCAACAATATACAAATTTAAAAACAACAACTGCCAGTCAGTGGGAACTGACACCTTCATTTATACTATCAGTGCATGGTATCTGCTTCTTGTTCAAAGAGTTTAAAGAGTTTAGCAAGAATTGTTTGCTTTTGGAAGATATGTATTGCTTTGCAAAAAAAACCCTCTACAAAGCAAGCTTTTCACCAGACCTTTTTTGAATACTCACAATTTGATATTTTCTTGATAGGAAAGTCATTTGTCATCACAATAAAGCTTATTAGTTGTCATTTTGGTAGTTTTAGTTCATCTGAACATTTTGTTTGTCACTAAGTTTCAACATCACATAGCTGTGTAAACTTGCAAATCAATTAAAACTGTCGGCTATTGAGCTATCAAAGCACAATACTAATATGGCTCACAATTTCATGTATTGTTAAAAGAAAAGTGCATTTGCTTGAAAGTACCTTTCAGCCTGGAAGTAAATATCTCCTAAACTATGATGTGATTGTTTTAGCAATCATTAAATACAACTTGGAAAGATCAACATCTTTCCTGCAGTTTAAAGCCTAGATGGAGTCTATAGCTGCACATATGCAGCAAGCCCTTAAAGTTGAGAAGTTTGGAATATATTTAGTCTCCACTCCCATAGAAACCCTTTCTTTTTAAATGCATAAAAATATTAATATAAAATCAACCATTACAAATATCAGAAATGAAAATAATAGCGTGAAAAAGATGTACATTTTGAAGTTGAAATGAAGTTTGTAGGAAGATAGGTGCAGCTCTCACACTAACTAAGTTGTATATTTACAGATTTAATGCTGATTTGTGATTCAGTTTCATGTCCAGCACCTAGTTACATGTGTGGCCTTTTGGCTCCATCTGGTGTTTTTAAAGATTTGCACTACATTGTTTAAAGTCTGTAATTCAAGCTCCCTGTTGGTAACTGGAAGAACAGTTTGCTTCCACCAGAGGTCACCCACAAGCTGCACTTTAAGTTCATCCATCCATCGTCAACCGCTTATCCTGCGTACAGGGTCGCTGCTGACATCGGGCGAAAGGCGAGGTACACCCTGGACAGGTCGCCGGTACAGATGCAAACATCAAACCAAAATATATACTGAGATGATATGTTGCTCGGGAGCTGTCTGTGGGCTCTTGTGTGGATCAATAAATGACTGAACTCCATCTGCCTCTAGAGAGGTACTGGAAACAAACACATTGTGGTCACAGCTGGCTTTGACACTGAAGCTAGAAGATATATTCTCAGTTTTTACAATGCGTAATATGGCAGTGGTGTGCATGGAGTCAGAAGCACATAGTCCACTTTTACTTTAATTGACAGGATATAGGAATATGTCTTTAAAAAAGATTTGAGTTCATTGGTCAAGACAAACACGGATAATGATGGATGTCTACAAGAAGTGAATCCATATACATTCACACCGGGGTCATTAGTCCTAGCTTCAAGGAACAAGAAAAATACAGGAACAATAAGCAGTAAACTGTAATAAGTGGAGCTGTTTTTACAAATTTGCCATGTAGCCACTACTTGTCTAAAAGATATCATTGAATGTCAACCTAGGATAGGCTTTCTGTTATTTGCTATTGATAATTGCATAATGCCCATCATTTATCTTTGGATGTATTTTATACTATCACCACCATGGTTATTTTACAGTTTTCTTTAAAAAAACAACAACTATATATAAACATATTCACAGTTGATGGTTAGTACATACATTTAGTGACATCTGAGATTATTGAGCTAACTTCAGCTAAAACACCACTTACAGACCTTCACAGTCAGAGAAAGTTTATTTAGTTTACATGATAATACATCACAGGAAATCATCAATATTATCAGTATGTTTATTTGAAAAATAGAAGTAAAAAAACACTTGTCTTACAGTACCACACAATTACAGAGCAACAGAAAATAAAATCACATAATGGCATTTTCATTTTTGGTAAGCAAATACATGAATGCTTAAAAAACAACTTTAACAATTTAAATATAGTAGTTTAAAAACCTATAGAAAATAAAACTAGTGTGAAAATAGTGCACAATAGATATATTTGCAAGCATACTAATCACAAAAGAAAAAAACTTTTGGACAGGCATGACAATGATCCATGATCACATTTTTTTATCACAAGGGTTTTATAGGTTTGCAGCAAGGTTTAACTTAAGTTACATTTCAAAATGCTAAATAATGTTTTAGGAGAAAATTATGTCAGTTGAGTCTGGCTTTTTTTGTTTTTTATCACTCTAACATCTGTGTAGACAACGTCAGAAATTTCATCAAAGTTACCTGGGGAAAAAAATTAAAAAACAGACATGAAATCTGAAATGTGTTTTGGAGTGGCAACCTGTCACAGAGGACATGTTGTTATCTTTTCAACCTTTTCAACCAAGCCTGTAAAAAGTCTTTTCACAGTATTAAATAAATGTAATGCATTAGCTATCTGAAATAAAGAACATAAAAATAATTCATAGGTCTAAACATTCTGGTAAACTAACTTAATGTCAGGATGGGTCCTTTCTGAGGCAGATGAAGACATTTGAGAACATCTTTCACTTACCCTCATTAATAACAGTCGTGGGTCTTTGTTCGTAATGTTGATGTTTTATACTGAGACACAGAGCCACAAGGAGAAGGATAGTGACAACACCAGCTGTCACAGCCACAGTCACAACATGGAAGGAACCAACTAACTCTAGAATTAGATGATGACAGTGACATGTTAATTTCAAAGCTTCCAAGAAGTTTCTCAAATATTTCTTGTCCATTATTTTGTCATGTATCAGGTGTTCGACATGTATCAGATTAAAAAAATGAGTCCAATGAGCAGTCCCATGCAGTCAGAAAATGTAATTAAGGTTTTTAAAAATGTGTAATAGAATGTGACATTGTAGTGAGGAGCTGATATTTACACCCAACAAAATATTAATGCAACACTTTTAGTTGAAGTAAAAGATCCAATACTTCTTCTATCCATACAAAAGGCTAATTAAGATCAATTGCACGCTTCCTCAAAACTCTGTAACAATGAGTTGTGTGATAAAACTGCACATATTAGAGTGGCTTTTTATTGTGACCAGTTCAAGGCACACCTGTGCAGTAATCATGCTGTTTAATCACACCTGTCAAGTCGTCACTAACACAGATTTGAACAGAAGAACTCCTAGATCTAGGAGTTCAATGAAAATGATGGTGCTGTGCTATGGCGACTTGCTACGTGCTTCTCTTGCCTTGTTTGCTCAAGCATTTCATTGTATTTTTATACACATGATAATAAAGTTGAACCTTGAGAATTTGAAACCTCAACTCATGAAAAATGGGAGCAAAAGCAAGTGTTTATATTTTTGTTGTGTGTAGAAAAGAAAGAAAGCAAAGTTTGAACTCTTGTACCTTTGCAGCTTTGTAGGTGAATAACTGTTTCATCTCTGCTGACATTGTTCCAAACATTACACAGCAATTTTCCAGTCAGCTGACCGTGTAAGCTGATCGTCACATTTGTAATACTGGGTTTGTCTTGTTCAGTTTTATTCCCAGCCACTGACTGCATGTTTGCAGTCCAGCTGCTTGGGGACTGGTTGTGGCCTCTGGTTTGTATCAGTAAGAGACCGTCCAAAGTCAAAATGAACTCTACTCCATCTTCATCAGAGGAGCAGGTGATGTCCATCTGTTCTTGTGACAAACACATCTGAGACACAGCTGGCTTTGACACTGGAACTGGAAGACAAACAGTAACTAACACACTATATAGCACATCATGCAAAGTAAAATTCACTAATTCAATACCAACTCTGTGATGTATCTCTCTCTCCCTATATTTCCTGTCACTTTGTACTGTGCAAAAAATAAACTATAATGAACATATATTTATCATTAAGTTGGATCTATCTATAAATAAAGGCTTATTAATAACAGACACCTTAAAAAAATACACATGTACACACTTATTTTACATTGAACATTCTAAGATGAAGGTGTAAAGTGTTCAAAAATTAAGTTTCATTCCAGTTTTCTATACATTTTTTATTTTATTCTAAAATATCTTCTTTAATTCCTGTTTCACATGTACAATTAAATTTTTTCATCCATAGTTTGAAATCGAAAGTTTCAATCAGAAAAACATTCCTGAAACTGTTCACCAACCTTGTATTTGTAGATGCACTTTAACTTTTTTCAGTGAAGCACCGTTAGATCCAAATTCTTCCAACAGGTAATCTCCAGAGTGTCTCTTCATTGCTTTACCTAGTTTGATTGTTCCGTTGGTGAAGCGATCAGACAGATTTGTATATTCTTTATGGGCAGTCTCTATCTGATTTTTGACTATTTTTAAAATTAGATATTTATCATCCTTTGTCAACCTAACCTCTGTATTTGGTGCATTTGGCAAATGAAAAATCAACAGCTGTCCGACGGCTCCAAAACACTGCTGAGTTCCAGAGCGTCCAGAGAAATTGCATTCAGTTAACCCTAAAAAACAAAAAAAATCAAAATCAAATGCTGAATGTAAAATACAGATTAGAATAATTACTTGTTATTTGTGTCCAGCATTTCATTCCAGTGTGGAAAAGGAAACAGTACAGACAATTTCAACATTTTATATATTGTGTATTTATCACACTTTGCTGGAAAGGTGAAGTATCATTCCCAATTCTCCCTTTTCAGATGTTAGTCACCAACTCCAGGATTCCTGTTGCTACTTCTCTTCAGTTACTCTGCCTGATCTTAAAGAAATGATGTCTAATGAGAGTATCCTCCAGCCCTCTTGACATAATCCCAATTAAGTTTATTAATTAAAAAAGCCATGGATTGTATTGGTCAACATTTTCTGTCAATTTTTAATAGCTCGCTGTACTTGTTAGTCCAACCAGTTCAAAAACAAAACCTGGCCTTGGTCCTACCATCCTAGACAATCATCATCCAATCTCTGAACTGCCTTTTAATTCAAAGATTCTCCAAAAAAAAGCTGCTCCTTGCTGCTATGGAAAACAATAACATCTTTGATAAGTTCCATTCTGGCTTCCATCAGTATCACAGTTTTGAGACAGCGATTCTCAGAGTCTCTAATGACTTTTTAATCAACACTGATGTCTTATTGATTACATTTAGGGCTCTCCATGACATGGCTCCAGATTATATTTTGGATCTTTTAATCGAGGCTATGGAACAACCTGCCTGAGGAAATCAGGATGTCAGTCAGTGTCTTCTTTCAAATGTTTTCTAAAAATGCACTTTTAATCTCAAAGCATATCCTGATTTTATCTGAGCTGCCAGCTTTTATTATTGTTTGTATTGTTATTTCATTTCTTCCTTTATCCTGCTCATTGTAATATTTAATTTTATTGTTACTTTATTTTAATTTTATTTTACCCTCGTGCATTCACTGTAGTATTTTATGTAATCTTTCTCTCTGTGTCTGTGTGAAACACTTTGTACTTCATTTTGATAGGTGCTCTATAAATAAAATTTATTATTATTATATTATTATTAGGGCTGTCAAAAATAGCGCGTTAACGACGTTAATTCGTTGTTTGTCGTTAATTACGTCAATTTTTTTAACGCATTTTAACGACAAATTATTCAGGTCAGGAAAGTGGTTGGGACGGGAGCTAGAGGCGAGATGGAGCAAGGTGAGCAAAGTGGGCCTATTGACGGATTCAAATATAAAAAGAATGATGATGGTACAGTTAACAAGTACAAGGTTATTTGCAAGATTTGTAACAAGGAGTTTCAATTTCACCGGAGCTGTTCAAGCTTGAGGTACCATGTCAACGCCAAACATGCGTTTGCTTGTTTCGTCAGGTTCAGCAAGTGGTTCGCGCCAGACCACGCTGAATTTTCGCGGGCCATTAACAAAATCAACCTCAGATAATTTGACCAACAAAATAGCAAAATGGATTGCAAAGGATTGTAGACCCGTTAGTATTGTAGAAGACTCAGGTTTCATTGATGTTTTGCAAGTGGCGTCTCAAGACTCATCCTATAGGCCACCGTCAAGTCAATCCACGACCTCTATCAAAACGAAAAAGAAAAAAGGAAAGAGGTCTTGGCTCAAGTAAATCATATCGCCCTGACAGGAGACCATTGGACATCAGTGAATAACAACAATTACCTCGGAGTAACTGCACATTTCATCAGTGACACGTGGGAACTGAAGTCTTTTGCGCTGACTATATTAAAAACTAAGGAGCGTCATTTTGCGGAGGCTTTTAAGAACAGTTCCTGTCTGTTGCACGTAAGTGGGACATCAAGGGCAAGACGACAACAATTGGGACTGACAGTGCACGCAACATGGTTGCCGCAATTCGACTAACACGCTATGAACACATGAACTGTGTCGCTCACATGGTGCAGAGAAGTGTCGCAAAGTTGTCGGTCATTTTAAGCACAGCCCAGCAAATGCTGCGGAGCTTCAAGCACAACAAGTCAGCCTGGGAAAGAAGTAAGAGCCATTGATCCAGGATGTTCCAACACGTTGGAATTCGACGCTGGAAATGTGCGTGAGCAGAAATAAAGAGGCTGTCATCGCAGCCCTGGACAATCAGGATCACAAACTCGTTTTGCCGAGCAGAGTGGGATAAACTGCAGAGGCTGGAGACACTTCTAGAGCCATGCAGGTAAATCAGTCTGTAACTTATCAAATAACATTGCTTTTATTATTTTCTGGAATGAATTAAACCAAGTAAAATATCAATAACTTGTATGTAAATAATAATAATGATAATAATAATAATGATAATAATAATAATATGTTGATAACCACTGTTCTAATAATAGATTGTCTCTGTGTGCATGTGTGTGTTTGTGTGCGTAGGTATGTAACTGAGCTCCTGGGTGGAGAGGCCTATGTCTCCTGTTCTGTGGTACTACCTTCTCTCTGCCACTTGCATCTCAAGATGGAAGCCTGTGATGAGGACCCTGCATATGTGGTGAGATTCAAGACCAAGTTCAAAGAGGACCTAGCATCCCGTCAAGAACAGCTCAACAATGCATGGCTCCAGATTGCTACAGTTTTGGATCCTCGTTTCAAAGACTTGAAATGCCTGCCCAAGACAGACAGGGAAGCGGTGTGGACCACACTTGAACGGATGCTGCAACAAGAATCACCCAGAAAGTCTTCAAAGACACATGATGATGGGCCACCCAGGAAGAAAATCAGCCTTCTGCAAATGGGTTCAGATTCAGAATCAGAAGATGAAGAGGTCCAACCTGCCATACAGAGGTACAGAGCAGAGCCCACCATTAAATTGGAGGACTGCCCCTTGAGGTGGTGGGCATCTCATTCAGGAGCCCATGAGAAGCTGGCCTCACTAGCTGACAAATATCTAGCCACTCCTGCAACCACTGTTCCCTGTGAACCACTTTTCTCAGTTGCAGGTCACATTGTGAACAAGAAAAGATCAGCTTTACTTTCAGAAAATGTGAACAAATTAGTTTGCCTCAGCAACTGGCTGAAAGATGATGAAGCTCAGTAGATTTGAAAGGTGATGTTCAAACAAAAAGACCAGTTTCAGTGCAACATGTTATAGTAGTTAGAAACTGGATTTTTGAGCAACTGGATTAAAGAATGGACGAAAAGGTAAAAGATTGTTCTTTGGTTTGATTTAAAAGTTTTATTGAAAATGTTTTTTTTCCACATAAAAACGCAACAGATGACTCAAATTGTGCAAAAATATAGTAGGTCACTGTTATGATTTGACTACATTTATTGCTTTATGTTCAATTTAATGCTGTAAATTGTACATCCTGGTTAAGAGGAATGCCAAAGAAGAAGCGATGGGACATTACAAAAACAAATATTATGGTGTGTAGTATGTTTCAGCTTGATTTAAACCACCATTATTTGGCTGTGTTAATAAACAGACATAATATGAAAACTATGTATCTGTGTCTTTTTATTTATCTTTTGGTATGCATTTCAGAAAAAAAAAATGGTTAGGATTCAGGTGTAATTGCAAATAGTGATTAATCCTGATTAATCCACTGAAAATTCTGATTAATTTGATTAAAAATTTTAATCATTTGACAGCCCTAATTATTATTATTACATTTTTATATTATCATATTTGCGGCCAAAAGTCATACATTTACCTGTAAATAATATATTTCTGCTGCTGCATTTTTACACTTTGATTTTAAATTTTTTTATGAATTGTCTAAACACCGTGATGTAGTAATAGTAACATATTTTCAAAGAGTACCTTTTGTCAGAGCTGTTGTTGCCAGAGCTGTTGTTGTCAGAGCGGTCATGATCATGTAGGTGGAAATCATTGTTTTTCTGTTGAAACACATAATTCATATTCTTCAACTTTATTTATCTACATACTATAAAATTACCAAATTTAAGATTACAAGTAAGTTTAAAAGTCAATTTTAAATAAAAAGAATAAAGCTTGTACAAAATGAATGTCATATATGGAGCGTTTTCATAATTAGGCTGTTTCAGAAAAGGGATGAGAATTTATACCCTCAAACTACAAACTATAAAATCAAGACAACGCACTTCAATGTTTCTGTTCACTTTAGCTAATCTCAGTACAAGAAAAAAAATTCAAAACTGTCACTCACTGCATTCACAATGGTGCGATGTCTTCTTTGCAGCTGTTGAACACTGAACTGTGAACTCTATACTAACAGAAGGGTCGTTTATGCACCTTTTTTTGTGTGATAAGCAGCAAGGAAGTGGTTACTGTGTTCTCACCCACAACTTGCCAATAAACAAAGTACTAAGATTCATAGCTTTGGCGGTACTACGATGAAGACTGCCAACATAAACAATGGTTTCTTAAACTTGAAACTAGCTAAATCCTTTTTATGTGTGACATATTACCGTCTGTCCAGGGACAGCAGATATAAAATAGGCCTTTGGCCAATTCTAGCACATCATACATTTATTTATGTATTATTAGAGTGCATTGTCCCTGCTCAATAAACCTAAAATAAATAAATGAACAGTGGTCCAAGTGGTCTTTGTTGCAGATTTTCCTATGTATTCAATTTTAACATTTCTAAATTATCTTGTGCTGTGTGAGATGTTCTAGTCACTGTGTAAATGGTTACATTTACCTAAAACAGTTTCAAAATGTAGTTACGACATATTAATTGGACGATCATGACCAAGATTCAAGTATATTATTGGCTGCTATAAAACAAATGTAAATTATGGACCAGTACCTGTGCTTCTGGTGTTTATCTTCAGAGGGGCCTAATATAAAGTACACCAAACAAATAACTTTATAATTCAAAACTCACACACATAATGACAAATCACATGTATCCCTACTACACACACAGCGGTAGCCTCTCTGGTGATGAGCTGATTGACATTGTTGGTGAAAAGTTCACCAAAAGACTCATCCATGAAACTAAAGGACTACTCACACTAAGCTGAAAGAAGCCACAGCTAAAACATACATAATAAATATATTGTCCACTTTGAATATTTACTCCGGTGAATATATGAAGTTACACTAGCATGCTCCAGATATTTTACTTCATACACTATAAAACTTGTATTTTTGCTATATACATTTAATACATTTAATACATTCTTCAAGGATTATGAATGTACAGTTAATGACTTTCTTTTTCTTGACAGCCAATCAAAAAATCTGTCAAACTATCTCACATATATTACATTCCTATTCATATTTAAAAGAGTTGTATTTTGTTCTTTAATACATTGAGGACCATTAAAATCAGTCTTAAGTAAAGTGTCAAGTGCCAAATCACAAACATAAAGAAGTGCACAGATGGCAGAGGTCTTTCAAGTAACTGAGGTGTGAGTTTCCTTTTCAGCTGCAAATACAACTGCACAAAAATCCTCCGGCTGTGAATGCACCATCCTTTGCTTTTGTCAAACTGACACTGTAAGATGTATTTCTCTTACTCTATATACATTATAAGTATTTGTGTTGCTCTTGTGTACATGGTAATAATTTACAATAAAAAGAGAAATATTGTTACAGGATGCAGCTTATTGTACTGTTTCATGACAAGGATTTAAATGCACAATATTGGTTGATTGGTTGATGAACTACAATTGATGGGAGAGGTTGCCGTCCACATTTTAAACCTGAAACCTGATTTTTTTAAATTAAACTATGCACATTGTAAACCTGCCTGAGGATGACAGTGTTTCTACAAAGGAAAATGAAGACATACACACTTTCTGCCTCTCAATGTACTGTACAAACAAACTTGTTTAAAAAAACAAAATACATACTGTATGTAACTTACAAACCTTGTCACAGGCAACTCAGGTGATGCGAAATTAAACTGTATGAGGCTGACAGTTAAAAACCACAGCTTTTTCTTTCTCTGTCACTTCCTTATTCACAGTACCTCATTCAACTCTCTCAGGAGACATTCACTTCATCTCTGCTGTAACACATAAACTAGCAGGAACTGTTGCATTTAACAATACAATAAAGCAGACAAGCAACAACTTGATTTATTAAGAATTTTATTTGCTTATAAAAAACATTCAGGGCAAAAAATGCATGAGAGATTGTTTCACCTTTTGATCTATACTGTTAATATGTTTAGTTAATCAGAGGCAGCAACAACATGGAATCAGGCATTAATTAACAGCAGGAATAATTTATTTATTTTATTTTGTTAAACATTCTCTTAAGTGAAACAACAACAATTTGATAATGAGAACAGGATATAAAACTTAACTACACCACTCATAATATCGTGTTCATATTGTGCAAGAGGAAGTGCTCTTTCACAGGTCACATCACACCTCTGAGAGTAGATGTGACTGCATTGGAGGCAGAGACGGCATGCTTTTTTCTTCCAACACAATTGATTTATGTTGCAGTAGTACAAGTTATGTAGTTCAACTGTTGATAGGGACACAATTTGCAGTTGAAAAAAGGTAATAAATCAGAATATGTGTTATCGCACCCCTACTTTTGTGCTTGTGGATTCTGGCTAAGCAAAACTTAGCTGGGCTAGTTTGTTTAGTTTTGGTCTTGTTAAATGCTTGGTAGACTTCATAGGTGTTTGCAAAGGCAGACTTGGACATGCCTTCTATGTGGCTCCTAGAGTGTTTCTAGATGCTTTTTTAGTTATAGTTGCTATCTGTGTGTACATTTTTGTCTGTTTGAAAACAGATGTGTTCAAATTTTTCTCTCTCACTGAAACAGTTGCATCTACTTACACTTTTCCATTGACTTGCTATCACGGCATCGCATCTATAATGCACTTCATGTTCTGTCTGAACACATAGTCACAAAATTTGTACTAATACCGTTAATACCATCAGCAGCAGTAGTGACAGCTACATTTGATACTAGTAAGAGAGATTTGACTTAATCAGCACCATGGACAGAGACACAATACACGTAAATAGCTCTGTATGGAGGTGAGTTTAAATAAATTCTCACTTTGTCAATCCAGCTACATTCAGTGTTATTGTCAGTGGAACTCACAACCACAATAGAAAAGGCTGGCTATAATGGAAGTGGGTAGAGATGAAGGTGCTCTGGACTAACACAGTATCCCCACCACCAGCGTTACCACAGGGTTAGGGTGACATAATTTTGGAAGGGAGAGACAGGGAACTCGTTTTATTTTCAAAATATAGCTTAGCATTCAAAATATTAAGTAAAACAAGAGGCAATTAATTGTTTCTACTACTGTTTGTCTCATGGGGAATGTGAAAAATAGTGATTTATTAATATTATTAATAGTGATAATGACTGTGTCATGATGCTGCTTGTAGTTAGATAGTATTAGTGGTAATAATTTAAGCATTAGCAGTAGTAGTTAAGTTAAAGTAATAGTAAGACTAACAGCAGCAATATTAGTACAATGTTACTACTAGTATTAGCTTGAACAAAGCTCTGCTTCAGTCATTGTACTGTAGCTTGCAGGAAAGAGACCATTTTTTTTATTGTGCCTTTGGTTTTGATGAAATTATGTCTTTGCTTCAAAAACCAAAAATTACAGTGTGAGTTAAACTTACAATGACACAAAAAATTGTACAGTACTTGTACTGGAGTGAAATTACTTTCTGGTTACATGTGGGGACCTCTGGCGCCACCCAGTGGTCAAATGAAAGCAACACACTAGACTAGAGTGAAAAGGAAATCTATTTATTTTGTTGATAATTACGAAAAGTATGTCTTTCAATAAATGTTTATTTTAACAATTCTGATACAATGCCAGACACAATAACAAATAACAAAGCAAATTCAGAATGTAGATGTAGAAGAATGAAGGAGGCGAAAGAGGCGATCTAAAACCCAAAAGTTCACACTGACACAAAAGGCAAACTGGCCTCAAATCAGCGCTCCTATAGCCATCCTTCACCTGCTTTAGTTGAAGTAGCTTTAGTTGACAAATAACTGTGTTGGGTTAATAATACAATAGTTTTCTCTGAAATGTATACTGTAGTACAGTAGTTTTAAATGTAAATGTAAGTACATTTGTAAATATGTACGGTAGCCTAAGTCAATGGCGAGAGACAACTTGTTTTTTTAATCCATCTTAACTGTGCCCTGAAATACTCATATGATGTATGTCAATTTAAAAGATATTTTTGAAAGTCGAGAAAGTCATAGTTATTCATAAAACAGGAGAGTAACATTTCACGCGTTTCCAAGTGTAGGGCTAATGTCTATCATTATAATAGGTTAAAGACTAAAACACTGTGGAGGATCTTTCAAGTTAAACATTTGCTACTCTACATGAGAGGAGATAGTTTGGATGTTTTGGGAATTTAGTAAGATGCCCTCCATATTGTTGTTCTCACTAAGGCAAAATCACAATAGGACCAAGTCATGTATCTAAAACTTTTATGTTTATTTGTAACTACAAAATAAGCAAACATGAAGATGTCATCATTCTTTAAACATTGTACCTTTACAGTGGTTTTTTTTTTTGATACACTGGGTCTATCTTGTTCAATTTTATTCTTAGCCAGTTGCTGCATGTTTGCTATCCAGCTGCTTGGGGACTAGCTGTGGCCTCCCAGGTCCAAAGTCAAAATGAACTCTACTCCATCTCCCTCAGAAGAGCAA